CCTGGCTGACGCTTGGCGTTATAAGAAGAATTTCATCAGCAAATCGCACAGGGTGGACTTATCGACCATCGATCTTCGCTTCCATATTCTTTCACTTTAATGTTCGTACGACGTCTGGGAGGCTGGCAATAATTGATTTTGGCGAGATGATATCGCCTTGTCAAACTAATTTTCTAACGTCAATAGTGATGTGATCATAGATAGCGATTTTTTTGGTTGTGCTATATATAGATAGCTCAGAATATATATATATATATATAGTAGTATAGTAAATATATATATATATATATATGTGCTATATATAGACAGCCTATATAGCTCAGAATGAATCGCCACGTACCGAGTAGGGCGCCCTTCCTGTTCAGAGCTTCTACGACCGTTTCTTCCAACTGAATCAAAGGCCTTCTTCAAATCAACGAAAATGAGACAGAGCGATCATTTGTACTCTCGCGACACTCCAACGAGTCTTGTCGAATTTTCACAAAATTAGTTACTTCGTTGCAAATTGAGTCATAGACGTATTTCAACTACGATTGAAAGTGTTACTGCACGGTCTGTTCTATTCTTGTGATGCCTATTAACTTGTTGTCGTGCAGAAATGGTCCACCGTACTGAATTCCTTACAGAACTCGCCTAGCTCACATAAGTGCACTACGTCCATTATTACAAAGGATATCAGGATAACAGAGTTGAAAACTTTATAGACGACAGACAACAAGCACATTGGACTACAGCTACCGGTGTCAAGGAGGTTAACTTTCCTTGGTGACATCGGTTTCACTGATCTTCCACTGATTTAAAACGTAGTAGTACTCTAGATGGTAACTTGTGGAGGGCCAAGCCAGTGTCGTTGTGAAAAGTGATGATGTTTCTGAGGTGTTCAAAGCATATCTTACCTTCGTCAAGTAATCTTCGAGTCTTCACCGACGAAATAGTATTTCAAATGAAGAACCTACACCACGATATATCCATCCTACTTAGTGGAAATGAGGAGTAGTTGGTGAAGAGGTCACAGTAAATGTTGCGAAATATTTTCTGTATCGTCTTTCTGGATAGAGGTGAATACGTTATGTGGGTGTCGTAAAGCAACCATTTCAATGTATGGACTTGCAAAGTCTCACCTGGAGTTTTAAATGCTCTTCCTAACCTCTTCAGCTACCAAGAAACGCAGGAATCTTCCCTCTCCTCTTTACTGCCGTTCTGCAAAAGTTTACAGTTGTGTACTTGAAGCGGAAATTATGTACGGCCCATGCAATTCCACATTGCATCTTTTAAATTTGAAACTGTTTCACTCAGCTGTAGCAGCAAGCACAAAATTACGTTCCCACCTTCGGTACGCATTTTTATTCTTCCAGGATTTGTGGATGGCTTTTCCTTACAGTTGCATACTTGTCCGATAACTTGAAAAATGTTGATTCTGAGATTTGGTTTGGTTTTGGAAACGACGCATGCAAGGAATAAGTATACTACGTTTCGCGCTCAGACTTTTGCATGCAAAAAGCATACGAGTGTATCCGGAAAATCGTGGTGACACAGATTCAAAAAAAGGCCTGGAATTTTTTTTTCACGCGGAGAAAGAAATACTAAATAAACAAGAAAATCTCGATTTTTGGTACTGCAGCTAAAATCGCTGTGTGATTCGACAGGTTCATGAATTTCTATTTACTTGAAAATTATTTTTACTTTATAGAGAAATTGCGGATTTTCTAGAAAAAAACTTTACTCCATAGTTCTATAAATGTTATCCTCCTCTTTTCAATTCATATTGCCAAAAGAAATGAAATAAACGTGCTAAGAAGTTCAAGTAATGGGCTAACTACTAATAGAGCAAAGTGCAATCTTCTTCTTGCTTTAAAAACGCCCTTCAAAGACCTTACGAAATCCCAAACCGAGTTGCAAAGTTAACAAAGATTGTGGTATCAAATGACTGTCAAACAATAACTGAAAGCCATCCACATACCGTAGTCCAGCAAACAGACAAGCCGAAGGTGTCATTTCAACAACAAAAATGCTATAATGCTGATAAAGGTAACGAAAAGAGCAGAAGTATGCTCCAAAAGTTTCCGAGCACGCTGGCACCACAGAGTAAGTAGTGGTGATGACACCAAAAGTGCAAAATAGTCAACGGTTGTTGGTGTGAATACATCACTAATCGTCTTCAAACAGTCGACATACCACAGGAGCAAGTAGACAAAAATCGTCTACCACACTAACTGAAGCATTACTATGTACAATTTATCTTCATTCAAAAAAAGCAAAACATCCTAAGTAGAAATAAGTGCTTTTGAGTCGAAACTCAGTGAGAAAATGAAACGTCGGAAACGCAATACGATTTTCTGTATCACTTCCTCGATTCAGAGTCTATTTCATTTTCAACCATCACTCTGGCGCAGTTCTCTTTATCTAATAGAATTTTCTATGAGTCCCACACATGTTTCAAAAAATTATATCTGTCAAACAGCTTCACCGCATAAAAACAACTGCGTCATTTGAAGACATGGAAGGCTTGTTTACGTTAACGATTCTGGAAGAACAGCAGAAGACGTACTAGGACACATTAGGTGGCATGAATTCATACGAAATAATCATTACCTATGCTAAAAGAAGATCACGTGAGAATTCTCCTCTCACCAATTCCAAATGTAATCTGCTAAATTTATAGGACATCTGAAAAGGTTATAAAGCACCGAAACTGCGCGTACCAAACTGCTTAAGTAGTACCAAACTGAGGTCTTCATAGAATATCCCTATGCGGACGGCGCAATTTCCGGCTGACGGGGGGCTCGAACAGCTACCAAGAGAGCTTGCCGTCGCCTGCTCCAAGGCTAAATTGGTACTTGTCTAATGACATTTACAATTTTTTCGTCATCATGCGGGATTTATGTGTAAATGGTCAGATATGATAGAACAGACCTCAATAAGGTTAATTTAATTAGAAATAACGTAACTGCCCCATTCATAATCCACAATTGCGAAGGATAAAAATCAAGTATTCATGAAAAGGTCATATTTAGAAGCTTCATCAAACATTTCTACGGTGTTTTATAGTTACTTCACTTCATTCTATTTCTTTCAGCTTTCCGTATACCTTATTTCATGAAGTGCATAAAATTAATCATGCTCTCTGAAAACTGGAAAACAATGAGTAGTTCGTGAAAAATAGTGCTGTTTGTTGCATGCGATCCCACTTCATCGATAATTATTGATATTTCTTTGAATACTAATGCAGTCCAGATCTTGCTTTCTCAGATCAGTGCATAATTTCTTTCGAATTCTCTATTCATATCTATGGTATGCGAAGAAAAGTTGGAGGTATAGCGGATCTTTCTCGTTCTCTCCACTCTGTTTGAGCCATTTGATAGAAACGAATAAAACGTTTTCGTAATCATTTCATAGATAAAAATTCAAGTGAATTTGATCACTTGACACTCCTTGTATCTAAAGGGTCCCGGAGCTGGTTGAATCCGTATCTGCCTTTGCAACTCGTGTTGGCCTACCAATCTATCAACTCAGTGCTAGCTTTCCCCTGCCCTCCCATCCCAAAGTCTAGTAATTCGCTGATTTCAGAGAAACGTTCTCCTTGATGAGTTTGAGGCAGCGGAACATAGTAATGGCTACCAGCTTGCTAACATGCAATATTTCGTAATCACCTCACTGAGAATCTTTTTACAACCGCTATATCCGATGGTCACGTCACGTGTGACATCCTGTCGACCTTGTGACTCTCCATATACTCTAAACATCAATAGCCTCATTACTTGATCTTCAGGATGCTTAATACTTCTCCTATGCCGTTAATCTTTCTCTCTTTTCACTCTAAGCTACTTTATTACTTGAAAAATCCTCAGCAAAAACGACCGCGTTATAATGTTATCGTCATATTAATGCTATTTGATTAAAATTTCAAATACCCAGACTTCAACCTTGAAATACGGCTACAACTAAAGTCTATGGATAGGGAATTAAGGGAGACGACGAATCCTTATCCTACAGTATGATGTGAAAAGTCATTCACATTGCATGATACGTTAGAATTTTTTCTTATTTAACCGCAATCAGCGGTCCTATGATGTTACAAACATCTATTGTATTATGTTGAGTGATGTGTGAAACATTGGACGTCGAACGGAACTCAAATCGCATCTCACCATGTGGGCTCCACATGCTAACCATTGCACAACCAGCGCTTTTTTCTGCCGTCGATTTTCCTTCGACACAATTTTAGCGATCTATCGGCAACGAACCGTCAACGATTTGGCCTAGTACGCTGATGTCGACGTTGAATCCGTTGAAAGCCATGAATCAGAGCAGAACTAACATACCGAAGCTGGAAGACCTTTAAGTATCGTTGGTGCAAGGTGAATTGGAAGTGAGAAGTGTTGGGACCCCACAACAGACGTTAAAGATGGAGTCCGTGAAATAATAATACAAAATCTCACTGTGAACCGAGGTATGCTATTTTGAAGAGGAAAGATGAGCAGCGCCCGACTTTTGTATAGATCACGTAATCGTCTAAGGATTAAATATCCTCAAATTATGTGAGACGAGAGAAGCACTCGTGCATTCTGCTGAGTTTATCCTGAACGAAAACGAGCATCATGTTGTTTTACCTCAAAGATGTGTCTGTACTCATGCTTGGTTTCATGTCGAATTTTCAAGTGACAATTCAAAGGTTTTCTCTTGTCTAGTGAAGATTATGTGGTCCAGAATGGACATCGTAGAGGGGAAGATATTGCGAAATCGCCGTAACACGTGTTAAGAGTAGTTCTATTCAAAGAAGATCTTGTAATAACTCTTTACATCTAAGAATTATTGACAATCGTACTGGAGCGTTCCGTCGATTGGGATGGATAAAATTTCTATTTCGTTTCTTTTCCTGATTTTTTTCCTTCATTTTATTCCAACAGATCTCTCCACGAAGTTCATAGTTTCTATCTGTTGATATCCAACGTAACCAAATCACAGCGTCGTAATTAAACTAATACTCGATCAAAAATCATGGCCTCAGGCGGGATTCGAACCTGCGTTTCATCCTATCTGGGGACCCGTGTTCTACCACTACATCACCGAAGCACATATGCCCGACCACTCATTCTTCAACATCTCTATGTTAGCTGTTAGGCACCATCCTTCAACAGTTTTGGTCGGATATGCGATTTCGCTATATGAACTCAGGTGGGCTGACAGCCATCGTGATAAGTAATGATCCAAATTTCTATTGTTTTTACTGCCTGTTCTTTTACTGATGTTTTAGTGTTCTTACTGTTGTTTCCTTAATGTCTTCTGTGTTTTTACTGTGTAGTAGCAGAGCACGCCTCCCCGGGATAGGATGCAACGCGGACTCGATTCCCGCCTGAGGCCATGTTTTTGCTCACCATTTAATTCTCTTAAGATTTTGCGAAACATCCTAACACTGCGAAAAAGGCAGTAAAAACAATAGAAATTTGGATTAATACTCGATGAATAATCAGTAATGACTTAACGGACTAATTTTCTGAGGTTGTCGCTTTTTTGTTCGGTCCACAAAATATAGAAATGAGTTTAGAGAAGCTTATCGAGCTAGAAAGTGGTCTGAATTGACCGTAATTATCGTACCTACGGATGTTATAGTGCCCGTGCGGTATAGTGTAGTTTCTTGTCAACCCTCTTGAGACTGCTGGCGTCATTATATAAATACGCGACCCTGCAACTGACTTTCAAAACCAATTATTTTGAGCTCGTTAAGCATTTTTGAGCACTTTTCTAAATTCATAGGCCAAGGATTAGAGGTTCATCACAAAAATTTAGTTGTACGCGTTAAAAATGATCTCTGATTACGAAATCGATACTAATTCCAATGCGATGCCCAGGAATGCTATGTGATCGGCTCTTCCCGGAACGGCCTTGATTCGCCAGTATTTGATTGGAAAGATTGGAAATTGCCGACAAAATTCCATCACACTAACATCGCTCCTATCATGGGGTAGTTTGTAATTAATCTCAAAAGTCATTGAATAATTCTGAAAACAGGCGAAAAAGGAGCGCACATGGCGCAATGGTTAGAGGTGCTGCGCGACACACATGTGGTCGATGGTACGAAGGAGGGTCTCCAGACCATGATGCTTTAAACCGCTCGGGGTTCCGCGAAACGGTATCAGACTTGTCTGGGAGAATAGTAGTTCTGACTGGCCCATCTCTCAGGGATTGATCAACGCCAAGAGCTTTAGCCTCTTCGCTATTAATTTTACAGATAAAAATCTTGATCTAAAATCACAATCGGACTTTCAATAACAAGTGAATTTGTTTCTTCAGTGCTGCTGCTCCCATCTGATCGATATGGGTGGGTGCACACTGTTGGATACGGTAGGAGGGGTAGGGATGGGGTGGGGTGGAGAGGAGTGATGTCATTCATTGTGAATCTCTCCCAAGCCTTGATAAATGAATTTTTTTTCTAGTTAAACAATTAATTTTACAAATTTATGTGGCTGATATGAGGATATATCTCAGTGTTGTGATGTTCAAATGCACTCGCCGGATTTAGAGTCTCTGTTCATAGGCAGATCATAACGCGCTGAGTGTAGATTATTTCCGGCGCGTTATTGACTAATTTTCGAAATCGCGCTGTGTCGAGTCGCTTCCCGCCATTTCGCATGAGCATCCTCTGGAGGCACCGCTCGTTTTCCGCAATCGGAAGGCTTCCCCTGTCGTTCCTCTCTTCTTTCTTCTTTTTTCTTCCTTGTTTCTTCCTCTTTTTCCTTTGCATTTTCTCATTTCCTTTCCTCTTCGCTTTGGCATTCCTTACACGATCACTTGACACTCCTTTTATCTAAAATCTGCCTTTGCAACTCGTGTTGGCCTACCAATGTATCCACTCAGTGCTAGCTTTCCCTCTGCCCTCCCAAAGTCTAGTAATTCGCTGATTTCAGAGAAACGTTCTCTTTGATGAGTTTGAGGCAGCGGAACATAGTAATGGCTACCAGCTTGCTAACGTGCAATATTTCGTAATCACCTCACTGAAAATCTTTTTACAGCCGTTATATCCGATGGTCACGTCACGTGTGACATCTTGTCGACCTTTAATTATCCATATACTCCAAACATCAATAGCCTCATTACTTGATCTTCAGGATGCTTAATACTTCTCCTATGCCGTTTATCGTTCTCTCTTTTCACTCGAAGCTACTTTATTACTTGAAAAATCCTCAGCAAAAACGACTCCGTTATAATGTTGTCGTCATATTAATGCTGTTTGATTAAAATTCCAAATACCCAGACTTCAAGCTTGAAATACGGCTACAACTAAAGCCTGTGGATAGGGAATTAAGAGACGACCAATCCTTATCCTACAGTATGATGTAAAAAGTCATTCACATTGCATGATAAGTTAGAATTTTTTCTTATTTAACTGCAGTCAGCGGTTGTGTGATGTTACAAACATCTATCGTATTATGTTGAGTGATGTGCGAAACGTTGGACGTCGGACGGAACTCAAATCCGCATCTCACCATTTGGGCTCCACGTGCTAACCATTGTCCAATCAGCGCTCTGTTCTGCCGTCGAATTTCCTTCGACACAATTTTAGCGATCTATCGCCAACTAACCGTCAATGGTTTGGCCTAGTACGCTGATGTCGACGTTGAATCCGTTTAAAGCCATGAAGCAGAGCCGAACTAACATACCGAAGCTGGAAGATCTGTAAGTATCGTTGATGCGAGGTGAATTGGAAGTGAGAAGTGTTTGGACCCCACAACAGGCGTTAAAGATGGAGTCCGTGAAATAATAATACGAAATGTCACTGTGAACCGAGGTATGCTATTTCGAAGAGGAAGGATGAGCAGCGCCCGACTTTTGTATAGATCATGTCATCGTCTAAGGGTTAAATATTCTCAAATTATGTGAGACGAGAGAAGCACTCATGCATTCTGTTGAATTTATCCTGAACGAAGCCGAGCATCATGTTGTTTTACCTCGAAGATGTGTCTGAACTCATGCTTGGTTTCATGTCGGATTTACAAGCGACAAATCAGAGATTTTCTCTCGTCTAGTGAAGATTATGTGGTCTAGAATGGACATCGTAGAGCGGAAGATATTGCGAAATCGCCGTAACACGTGTTAAGAGTAGCTCTATTTGGCGTACTAAAAGTGTTTCATTGCTTCTCGCATGAGGTGGTTCTTGATTGATTTCAGCAATTGTTGGAATAACACTGAAAACGGATAAAAAAGACCGCTCGTGGCACAGTGGTTGGTTGCGCGACGCACACATGGTCGTCGGTGGGCGGCCTCAAAGCTAAAGTGCTTAGTACTCCTAGAAGTTTCGCGAAACTTTACCAGACATGTCTGGGAGGCTAGTGGTGCTGACTGGTCCATCCCTCAGGGGTTGATCAACGTCAAGAGCTTTAGCTTTTTCGCTTTCAATCATACGATTAAACATATATTTGAAATCAGGATCGGACTTTATAAGAGCGAATTTGTTTCTTTGCTGTTGTAGCTCCCATCTAATCAATATGTGCGCACTTTGTTGGATACGGTGGGACTAGGGTGTAGGGTGGGGAGAAATGAAGTCGTTCGTTGCGAATGTCTCCCTAGTCTCGATAGATAAGTTTTTTTGTAATTAAACAATCAATTTTACAAAATAATACTGCTGATATGAGAATGTATAGCTCAATGTTGTAAAATTTACATTCATTCACAGAAGTTAGAATCTTTGTTCACATTTTGATCATAACTCTATCGGATACCTCTGTGCGCCGAGTGGCTTCACGCCATTTCGCGTGAGCGCCTTCTGGAGGCGGTAGCCCTTTTTCCGCAATCCAAGCGCTTTCTCTTCCTTTCTTCTCCTCTTCTTTTTTCTTCCTTTCTTTCCCTTTTCTTTTTTCCTCTCTTTTTGCTTCGGCATTCATTACACGATCACTTAACTATCTTTATATCTGACGGATCCCTCATGTTTGAAATTCCAGTCTTCGCCATCGATGCGCATCTCACCGCTTTCTGTACGATGTTTAAACATTTTCAACTATTATTTCGGTGGAAGGACGAAAAGCATATGAACTTGTGGAGGAAATCTTCAGAGTTAGACATTTAACGTGGAGTTTCTTCCAAAGCGGCGAAACAGCTCTTGACAGAAGAGCGAAAATCGCACTTCGCCATGGCCCGCGGAAGATTCAATCGATTGGCAGCCGATTTGAAACTATCTACTGCAGCTCACGCTCCCCCCCCCCCTTCCCCTCCCCCTCCTCCCCTTCCTCTCCCCTCTCGCTCCCTCTCTACCTCTCTATCCCATAGATTAGCCAAAAAACACGCTCTCTTGTACCTGAATCCATTTCATTCTCTCTGTTTCACCGCAGAAAAGTGGTGCTCCCAGAAATCCAGTACATCATGGAATCTTTAAATCTTACGTCATCGATTGATTGCTAGTCTAAGGAGAGAACTTTGTTTTGGGAAAAAAGACGTGTGTGAAAGATTTTTTCTGTTGAAGCATCATAAAGAATAAAGGAAAAAGCTCTCGGCATCGGGCAATCCCTGAGTGATGCGCCATGCGTTTGTTTCAAATTTTTACTTTCCTTCGCGGTGACTGAATGCATATGTGATCGGCAGTGACTCATGATGGCTTATCTCTGTACCTACTTAGCGCTGCTTTTCCTCCCAGATCAGTCTGGTGCCAGTTCACCGACCCCAGAGGGATGAATGGTTTGCTGAGCCGTGAGCGCGAGATGGAACCGACGACCTCGTGTACGACGCAAAGCATCTCTAGCCACCGCGCCACATGAGCTCCTTAACCTAGACACATTCTGAGGAACGCAGTTCATATTACATGGACTTTTCAGGCAAACATGCAGTTGGTGAAGCTTTCACTCGGTTCAAGCTTTAACTTCATTTTCTTCTTCAGAGTCGACTTAATTGTACTCGATCTGTCTTCGTTGTCAGTCTTACTGACAGCTAACTCTATTAAGTTATTACAAGTTATGGCAGTGTAGTTCGATAGCTCAGCGGTTAGCTCACACAGCGGGAAGAATGGGGTGCACGTTCATCTTCGGTCAGTGGAACAAAGTTTTGTAGACCAATCAACATACGTTGATGGAAGGCAAGTTATCGAT